GCAGCCTCCACTGGAGCAAGCAAGTCTCCTATTTGCTTCAGCTGCCTGGCTGCCAGCCGCCATCTTGGTTGGCAGTTAATTTGCATATCCTGCTGATTAGCCGATGGGAAGCATAGCGGAGGTATGGTCAATTACCATGTTTGTCTATTATTAGATAGTATTAGGGTACTCCTAAGGCTTAGGAAGAGACACACTCAAGGGGCCAAAGAGCCACATGTGGCTCATGAGCCACAGTTTGCCGACCATGGATCTAGGTCAAGAGGTCTCAAGGCAGGTTAACACATTTTATACCGCTCAGGAGTTTTCTCGTGTTTCGCGCGCCATCTGTTAAGGACCACTCACAAGTGTTCTTGTTTTTCATGCCCATGGAAAAAGGAGCGAATCTAGATACTTAAATAAATTTTGTTTGGTCCCTCTTCATAGAGGAAAATGTTTTACGCAGTACCATACGTTAAAAAATACTAGGAACTTAAATTGTTTAATTGTTTTTGTAAATAAAAATGTTATAATTATTGAAAAACAACACCTAAAGTGCATTATGATAATTTAAATAACGCGCAGTTTGCCCAAGAACGTGCGGTCCCTGGCGTATGTCTTAGAGATTTCTATGCAGTATGCAATGTGTTGATGGCTTCTTCTCTTTGCCTCTGGAAAAAATAGTTTCTGGGCCAAGAATATGACTTTAACAACCCTTGGTTAAGATCTCAGAAAGATTTGAGGGTTTCAGAGGAAACCCAAAATAGAAGAGTTTATCTTGAAAAGATCTGTGGTTGTATTTTTTGTTCAATAGAGTAAACCTCAAGAGATTCATAGAAAACCCACAAAATTTTAAGAGAATTGTTCTGATGAAAGTGCCTCCAGTTTAAATGAAAAGGGACAAATGAAGTACAACATGAAAAGAGACTTTTGAACTCAACCTCTTTTTATGAGCAGGAAACAAGTTGGGAAGAATGCTTAGTTTGCAATTGAATTTACTTATGGGAAAAAAGTAAAGATTCAGAGGCAAAAACCAAGAGCCCAGAGGGCGGAGCTAAGAGCCATGGTGAACAAGTTACAAGCTGTAGGATTGATCCCTGAACAAGGAACAAACAACTCATGCCTGTCTAGATTTCAGAATTACTATGGACCAGTGACCCCTGTGTGTTCCTTTTTCCAACTTTTTGAACAGAACCATCTATAGTGGTTTTTCTATGCCTGTCCCATCATTGTACAGTAATTGTATAGTGTGTGTTTGTAGATAATTTATAGCTTTAGTTCATAAATCTTAGATCCAGAGGAATGGCACTGAAGGGACTATACCCAAAGAATAATATCGGAGGTGCCTCATCTGCACCTAAACTTGACTTGGATGATGAAATTCTGGACTTCAAGCTGATGTCATAAATTCAGAGGTCTTTGGGGGGGGGGGGGAGGCGGGGAATGACGAATGTATTTTGCATATAGGAAGGTTATAAATTGTTGCCAGAGAGGAATGTGGCAGATTTTATTTTGCAAGATGACCAAAACAATCATCTCCCATCTCAAATGCTCTTCCTACAGTGTGACCCTAATATCCTTCCCATTATGAGGTGGGTTCCACATTTCTTCTGCTTAAATCTAGGTGGGTCTGTGACTAAGGCAGAAGCGACACTATGTGACTTCCAAGCCTAGGTTATAGAAGGCGACACAGCTTCTGTCTGGTCCTCTTGGATGCTTGCTCTTGGAACCTCTAGATCAGTGGTTCTCAACCTTCCGAATGCCGCGACCCTTTAATACAGTTCCTCATGTTGTGGTGACCCCCAATTTCATTGTTACAAATTGAACATAATTAAAGTATAGTGTTTAATCTTAGGCGACCCCTGTGAAAGGGTCGTTCGACCTCCAAAGGGGTTGTGACCCACAGGTTGAGAACCACTGCTCTAGATTCATAGGAGGTACAATCACTGTTTTGTATGAAGCCACTGAATTTGGGGGTCAACAATGAGTGGCTGATACAACTGGAATGACAAATATATAAAGATAATTCACTCAATGCACTGAGCACTTACACTGTGTCAGGTACTCTTCTAGGTACTGTGGCTACAGAACAGACTAAAATCTCTGCTCTCATGGGAAATAAATTCTAGTGGGGGAACGCGACCCTTTAATACAGTTCCTCATGTTGTGGTGACCCCCAATTTCATTGTTACAAATTGAACATAATTAAAGTATAGTGTTTAATCTTAGGCGACCCCTGTGAAAGGGTCGTTCGACCTCCAAAGGGGTTGTGACCCACAGGTTGAGAACCACTGCTCTAGATTCATAGGAGGTACAATCACTGTTTTGTATGAAGCCACTGAATTTGGGGGTCAACAATGAGTGGCTGATACAACTGGAATGACAAATATATAAAGATAATTCACTCAATGCACTGAGCACTTACACTGTGTCAGGTACTCTTCTAGGTACTGTGGCTACAGAACAGACTAAAATCTCTGCTCTCATGGGACATACATTCTAGTGGGGGAAATAGACTATGAACATATATGATACGTTAGAGAATGATAAATGCTAAGGAGAAAATAAAGAAAAGGGGAAATGAACAACAAAGTGGTGAATGAGTTGCAATTTTAAGTGGAGTGGACAAGAAAGGACTCAGGGAGGTGAGTAAGGGAGTGATCCATGTGGATATCTGTGGGAAGAGAATTCTTTGTAGAGGGAATAACAAGTTGAAGGGCCCTTGCAGGGATGGAGGGCAAGCCTAAGGAGGGTAGAGGCCAGGATTGCTTGGTAGTTGGAGTATGGGGAAGATGCAGGATATGAGGTCAGAGAGATGATGAGGTGGGAGTATATTGCCTTCTAGGCGATTATAAGGGCTTCTTTTATTCTGAGAGGATCAGGAAGCCATTGGCAGGTTCTGAGTACAGACGTGACCTGGTCTTAGTTTGAGGACAAGGGGAGAGACAGGGAGATGAGCTATGAGGCTATTGCAATGATCCAGAAAACTGCTTACACAGACTCAGACCAGTAACACCAGTGGGCCTGGTTGAACCTGTAGGTAGAGCTGGTAAACTTGTGGACAGACTGGATCAGAAGAGAGCGCAACAGGAGTCAAGGATGGCTCCAAGGTTTTTGGCCTGTGCGACTTGGAAGGATGGAGTTGCTATTCATTGTGATGGGGAGACTAAGAGGAGCTGGCTTGGGGTAAAGCGTAACGGACTGGCTTGGATATGTTCGTTCTGACTGTCTGCTGTGCAGAAGAGAGAGGGCTGGGCTAGAGATAAATTCAGGGGTCATCAATGAGTGGCTGGTAATGAAGCTGTGAGATTAAATTCTCTAACCATTTACAATGAGGATTAGGTCTGGAGCTTGACCCCAAGGTCAAAGCTCCTTCCAGAATGCTATGTTGCTTCTCCACACCTCCTCGGGCATTCTGAACTTGGATCATCCTGGAACACTGCCACCCAGCAGGGGTGACCAGCTTCTGAAGCCCAGATGGCCTGGTTCACGTGCCACTACACTGCCTCCTGCATCCAGCTGTGGAAGATGAAATAGATTAATACGCAAAAGTGGTTCCCACATAGAATATGCTCAAGAAATGCACCTTATCAACAAAAGGTGGCTTCCTTTAGCCCGATACTAGCTGATACCAATGTCAAGCTCATAACCCGCTACGGATAGTTCCTTCAATCACTTACCTATCAGTGGGGCTTGCTTTTCTCATCTTAGCACCCCCAAAAAACACTGTGAACTTCATTATTTTATGAACCAAACCCAACAGTTACAATATGTGAACAAAATAATGTGCTCAGCTATCTTTTCAAAAGATATTTTACCAACTCCTGTTTAAAACCCACACAAGAGTGAGTCATAAAATGCGTGAAAAGTTAGTTTGCTCATCTTTCTCAAGGACCATTTCTCTCCTCCTCTGCTCCTCCTTCCTACGGGACCATCTTCCTTGCAGTCAAGATCTACTTTAAAAGTATCTGTAATTTATGTTAATATCCGTCATTAACAGATTGAAGGCAACCCACAAGCGGCTCTAAAACAGCAACCCTGAGACTCTAAAAAGAAAAATCCCAAACATCTTCCCCCCTAGATAGGACCCGGCAGAATATTCCCAGCCATGCATGCATGTGGAGAATGAAGCAGCATCCTGTTACACTCATGGACCCGTGGGGCATGCAAATGACATGACAGGATCTATACCTCTGAAGATTTACCATCTGGATGGAGGGGAGACAACACACATTCCTGAGATGGATTAAAGAAACATTTGGCATAGAAGCCAGCAAACACCGTCATTTTACAGGCATACAATGGTTCATAAAAGGTAAACAGGATTATCTGCGTGAGGGATTATGGATGTTTTTAGTTTTCATTTATGTTCTCTAACATTTTTGCTATAAGAAATACATTATATTTTTTGGGGGGGGGCGCGCGAGAAATGTGATTTAGTTCAAACATGCTAAAGAGAAGGGGACATGGTGGCTAAAGGCATGGACACCTGCTCTTCCACTAACCAGCCAGGTAACCTTGGACAAGTTATCTAACCTCTCCACGACCACATCTGACCTGTTTAAAAACAAAACAAAGATAATAGTGCCGTCTTCTGGAGGATGAAATCATCAATATAAAGGCCTTTGAATAGTGCCTGGCACACAGTCAATGCTATATAAGTGCTCCCTATATTGTCACATGAGCTGGGAGATACGGCTTTATAAACTGCAGTGCCTGAGAAAATGCTTATGAAATGGGCTGAACTTGAGTAAGAACTTTAAAGGTCAGGGGAGAGATATTTTAGATAAGGGAGCAACTTGAGAACGGCAGAGACAAGATGTTAAAGCTCAACCCCCACCGACAAGCAGACAGTGGAATGAGAACCAAATGGAGCATCAACTCACACAAATCCCCATGTTTTCTTTCAAACACAGCCACTCCTGACGGCTCCAGGGAGGATAACGCACCACAGGCACACTCATTTAGCTCCTGTTGTTTATCCACCCCTTTGTTTTCCACAAAAAGAAGAGACTCAAAGAGGATGCCTTCTAAATGTGTATCACCATTTATTGTAGTTTGCATTAGGAAATGAACAGAGGACATTGTCTGTGGAGGGGAGGGGGAAAAAAGGAAAAGAAAAAGAAAGTTTTTGTAGACTTAATTTCTTCAAAAACACTTTATGGTTTCAAATCCTTTTTTACCCCAAAGGAAATTCGAGAATTCAAGTATGTTAAGTAGGGAGCGGCAATACAAAAAGTCTTATGTTTTTGTGCGTGTGTGTGGGTGTTTGCCTGTGTGTGTTTTTACAAGCAGACATCGCTCCACATTTCTGGCACCCCTTTTCTGCTTTGGTACGGCCAAGCCCCAAAGGACACATCATGTACATGACCCCTGCCTTGAACTCACAGACCCAGGAGTTGAGGAATTTATGGACCCTCCTCATAGGATAACTGTAAAGGTTTCGAACGGTCACGAAGCATTAAAAACACCAACCTCCCTTCCCCCCCAAACCCTAAGTCATTTAATCCTGATAGACGTAAGCATTCCCTTTGCTGCAGCTGCTCCTTACGTTCCTAGAGAGGGTTTATGACAAGAACCAGAGCAACAGAATTCTCTTCATTTTGCTTAGAATTTAAAAAAAAAAAAATTTAAGGGCCATTTCAAAATAAAAATAAAAACTGAAATTCAAATTCTGAAAATATCTTGCCTTTTTTATTAATCATGTCATCTAACACCAATTAAAAAAACAAATATGTGAATATGATATAAAAATACGATCCCAGGATTAACACTTTGTTGCAGGCACAGTTATCTCACAGAATATATGTTTGGAGAGCCAGGGAAAGGAATTTATTTTTGTTTTCGTTTCTCTTAAAAAAATCCACAGCAGTGCATGTAGGGGCAGGAGAGGAAGGGAAGGGGAAAGATTCTTTAGCAGCAAAATGTCCAAGGTTCTCTAATCACAATTAAATCAATGGATCTTGGATTTAGAAAAAAAAAAAAAAGATGGAGGGGATGCTGCCCAAACCCATTCATTATCAATCACTAAAAAACTTCCGCTGCAAAAGCCCCAAATTGTGACATACGAAGGACGTGCTTCATTACACCAGCAATCAATCAGGGTGTCCCTCACGCTTTTGACCAGTTTTGTCACTTAAATATATATACAGGAATTGGGCTCCTTCTCGGTCATGTCCTTGCAGAGGCCACCGCTTGGCCGCGTTGGGTGGCTCTCGGTGTCTTCGCCACATCTGGCCTCCACATTTGAAGAGCAGTTCACACCGAGGCTGCTTCTGCTTGCCTGGCTGGCCGTGGCTGCTGCGAGCAGAGGGTGGGCGAGGGACGTTTAATGATCACTGTTCTGCTTCTCTCTCATCCAGGCGTGAATCTGTTCTTTCAGTTCTGGCACTGAGAAAAGAGAAGGGAAGGATTAATGCCTTGACGGAAGGGCTTTTCAGAGAGATGATGCTCGCTGTTGGGATAAATGGGAAGAAAGGCCGTTCATTTGCTCAGTGCAATGAAGACTGAAGAAGAAAGCAGCAGGACATGAGAAGGGCTAGACTTCTCCAGTGAGAAAGAACAAGGAATGCTTCGTGTCTTTTCCACTAAGTGTCACAGACGAGGGAGAGTTTCTGGATTTGATAAGTTCCACCTTTGATTAATCTCCAACACTGTGGACTTTGGCCGCCACACTTGCTGCTGCTGTAGGCACCGCCCCCCAGCCGTGCACCCCGTACCTGGCTCCAGCATGCTCTCGGTCAGCGTCTGCCGGTTGAAGGGGTCCGTGGGGGAGTTGAGCAGGTGCCGCAGAATGATGGAGCGGTCCATGATGGTGCCGGAGGGCAGCCGCACGGGGTCAGTCATCAGGGTGTCCATCAGAGGGTCTACAGAGACAGAGCAGAGCAACTTCTAACCTGATAGGACCTACAACCGAAACAAAACGAAGCCCCTCCGGCCAACAGGGAAAAATAAAACAGATGTCCATAAGAATAGCAACCAAATGGGCCCCAGGTTTCGAGGGAAAGTGACCTTTTATCAGCTACTGCTGGGAGGAAAGAAGAGAGAGAAAAAGATTGGGCCAGAGAGCTTTTGTTGGGACTTCTTGGGATTCTTTGGAAACACCAATCCCCACTTGTAAAGGCGAGGCAGCCTTAGAATCTTCAGGGTTTTACCTGGTTTGAAATCTGGCTAAGGACCTTTTCTTCTCTTTTAATTTACAATATGAGCTAAAAGCAGGTGGATGCAATTTCAGACACAGGGTCTCAAAAAGCAACCACAGCACACCAGGAACAAGTTGGAAGCACAGAACGTCCGTCCTTTTACCGTCACTGTTTCCAGTGAACCCAAGTCCAAGGACTGGGCCTGAGAAAAGCGGCCACTTGCCTCGGAACTCATCCGGAGCGTCGCTGTAGTCGATCTCGGCGCGTGCATTCTTGGCCACTATCTCCTCCACCTTCTCGGCGAGGAGTTTAAACTTCTCTATCGCGATTGTGGATTTGATCCCTGCCTTCCGCATCTTCGAAATAACTTCTTCAAACAACTCTTTGCTGTAGGATCTCTGTGGATGAGGAAAGCAATGTAAAATGTAAATATAGTGTAAGTGGGAAAAAGCAAGCTGCAGAAAAAGTATGATCTATTTGTGTGCATACTTTCTAAAAAAGTCCTAAAATTATAACATGTATATACAAATACTTTTACACGACTATCCTATCTAATAAAAGAGAAACATGGTAATTAGCCAACCTCCGCTACCCTTCCCATTGGCTAATCAGGGCGATATGCAAATTAACTGCTAGCCAAGACGGCGGCCGGAAGCCAGGCAGCTTGAAGCGAACATGAGGCTTGCTTGTTTCAGTGATGGAGGAAACCAACATTCTCAGGCTGCCGCTGCAGGCCTCTGCGCTGCAACTCC